CCTGCGGAAGAAGGCTCCTTGGACTCCTTCGCATTTTGTGGCACAAGGAACCAACTTACATATATATATATATATATCATCCATGTTCATCTAAAGAAGTGACAGGCTCCCCACGCTGACTGTCCGACGTAACCATGGCCTCATATGGTGGGGCTGCGAGTTGTTGGCAGAACTTTGCTGCGTACAGAGATCTCCATCGAGATCTTTGTGCAAGAGCAAGAGTAGTGAAAACATATGCACAACCATCAAGACACGGTACGTAGACCAGAAGATGTGAGCCGCCTTCAATTTCAAGAATTTGTAAAAGCGAAGAGAAGCGGCGGGCCCCCCCAGAAGCGATGCCTTACCAGAACATGAAGGACGAACAGTGCTGGTGGTTCAAATTTTGCCCTTACCAACGAACTACTACTACAAGAAACTGATACCTCCCTTCCGAGCTGCAAGGTCAACGTTGGTGTGAGGGACTCATTTACTATGTGCACCGTGCATCAATACTCTTTCATCAATCCCATCCAAGGTTTTAGCGCGCCTCAGCTCAGTGCACGCTTCTGCTTGTGGGGACTCCCAGCTTGTGCAGAGGCTGCGTGTTGCAAGTCGCAGCAAAGGATGCGAATCCAAATCGACTGGAAAAGACTCGGTCGCCAGAGTCCTCAGAGTTGCCACACACGACTCGGTGTGGAAGCATGAAGCATCCATTCCCGTTTTATACTCATGGCCCACGGCCATAGCTGTGGGCACGGCTGCCATGTCTGGCTCCTTTGAGACTCATGTTCCTCCAGCGACTGTGCACTGAGGCTTCCAAAGGAATCAGAGATTGGACAAGAGGGGTTGAAGGCCACTTCAGCTTGCCTTGTTGAACTTGAGCCTGTGTTCTTCAGGAACTGTCCAACAAGCGGGGAAGGTACACTTGCTTGTTGCTCCTTGATCCCCTTCATCAATGTGCTGTACACCCACCCAGTTCCTAAAGCACCAGATGCAGCCAAGAGAAATTCAACAGCTGTAGCGGGCCTGTGAACTGCAGAGGCTCGAACGATTGCACCAAAGGGCTTCTAGAGGTGGAAGCTGGCTAGTGGGACCTTTCAGAAGATTTATATCATATATATATATGTAGATTTGGTGTGCCCTGACCCGATTTTTAGCCTGGCTACATTGAAATGCCTTCCTATTATTAAGACGGTGTGTCCCACGCTTTTTTGTGTGATCCTGTATGTGTGGACGAAAAAAGGTCACCGTGCCAATTTGTATCAAGTGCGGCCCTGGCTTTTTCTATAATTTTCTGGAATCGATTGTCAATAAACATTCAATATAATATATATATATATACTAAATGGAACTATAATCAAGCGCGAACACATGAATGAAGCTTGTAGCAGCTGCTCATATTTGAACTGAGTTACGGGTCATAGGACGTGGTTCCAACCAACAAAGGTCGAAATATGACTGACCCGAACAGCAGGTTCAAGCGCAGCCTATCCTTTTGCCACGGCAGCTTGGCAGAAACATGACGGAGCTCAAACGCAGCGTGCTGGAAGTTGTTTCTCCAATGGAAATCCGATATCTACTACAACCTACTTTTCCACGCAGAAAATCACGAAGAACCGCAACGGTCCCTTGATGTTTTGGTAATCGGACCCGTTCAATGCTGGTTTTTGGATGTTCTTGGCTATGAGGAGAGTGGCAATATAATTGCAAGGTGAAGGTTTGCTGATTGGATGACAGACCTCATTGGATTTGCTGACGTCCTATGCAGCATGCAGCTCCTTTTGACGCCACTTGTGTCGTGAAACGCAGGTCATGGAATTTGCTGAAGGCAATGCAATTTCTCCAGGACCAGCAAGCCCAAGGCGCTGCCGGTCGCAGCACGGTCCATAGTCCGTTGGTATTATGATGATTGAAGTCGTAGACCGCATGCTGCATGCAGCAGAAAATATACCTCAAGGCACCGACATACTGAAGAGGAGAAGGGAGCTTTGTTTGGAAGGAGTTGTGGCAAGCAATCTAACAACATGCGCGCTGCTCAATGGGTGCGCGGAGGTACTTGCAAGGTCCATCCATTGGTGCCTGATTTGTAATGTTGACTTAGTCGACTTCCACTTTTGCCAGGGGGGTGCGGCTGAGGGAAAGGCAGGATTTGGGAATGGATTTGGCAGGTGTGATGCCCGTTTAGACTCCACAACAGTATAACATAGCGGCGTCCCTGTGGGACGGCTGCGTTGTAGCCAGACGCTGCCGAGAGAGAGAGAGATAGTACAACATAGTATGACAAGTTCAGTTTGAGCATTGCAGATAGGCAATGATAGGCACTCAATGTCAGTTTCCAGTGCATGTCCCCCAGCTTCCAGGCTGATCAACTTTGCATTCTGGAGCCCTTGCAAAAGGCGAGAAACAAGCCCCAAGACATGAATGTCACAAAAAGATCAAAAAGGCGCGAAGTTACTAGGGCATTCTGTAGCATTTCGGACTTGAAGGATTTCAAGGCCTGTGCATGTCTACCAGGTCTGAGCATCTTGAACACGGACATACTTTCCGCCAATTCGTGCTTGTGTGCAGGTTCCTTTGGAGAATTGGGAGCTGGGATACGAGCGGCCTGGCTGATTATCTACCGTGCTTGTAGCCTGGCGATATGCGACCAGCATGCTGCTCAACATGTGCAATCTGAATTTGATGAGATGCAGTTCGAGGGGACTGGGGTGCAATATCACGGGCGCTCCGGACTGAGGCTAATTATGGAGAGTCATGATCTTAGACCTTGAGTTGCGGAGCATCTTCGAGAGGATGGTGTTTTTTCTATTTTGTGTAGCTAGCTTGAAGCTCGCTGCTGACAAACCTAGTTCACGGGTGGATTTGAGTGAAGAAAAGTCGATGATTCTTTCAGTGCATGTTCACGAGTTTGGGGCCGATGTGCCAAGCAGCCGGTGAGTATACCATCGTCAAACAGCCAGACATGTCTCCACGAGGTCCAGAAGAAGCTGAGGGCGCCATGGAGGTGCGGACATGTAGAAGTTGGCGAAGCGAGTTGGCGGTGCATGTCGAGTCATTACTGTCGATGTCTTGCTGAGAAACATTGGCTTTGGCTTTGGATGGGCCAAATGGGAAGCATCTTGATACTGCCAAATGTGTCCAAGAAACATCAGTTTGTATCTCCGAAGTTTGTCAGTCTTCCTGCCATTCACGCTGATGTGCAGGTAGATTCCGTGGGGACCCAGCGCAGGCTCGGCATTGTGAAGATGAAAGTTTTGTTTTTGTATGGCACAACATGGCATAAGAATGGGGCGTTCACACTCCAACTCCACCTCTCGTAGCAGCAAAATTGTTGAAACATGTGTTGCTTGAAGGGCAACCCTTGCAAGCTCCAGGCTTTTTCACCTGAGTATGAAACCCCGTCATTGGAAACTCTTCGCCCAGGACAGGGGATCCCGTGATTGTTCACAGCTTAGTCTTGGGGAGTCAAGATTTGCGAGCTGCAGCCCACACTCAAGAGCTATTCATTCAATGCTCACACCCAGTGTAGGTGCCTGATTTTGCTCCGTTGCACGCAAGTTGATGAAGATACACAATGGTGGATCAGAATCGAAAACGTTATCCCAGGTCGAAGAGTGCTGCTCAACATCCTAGGGGATGTTGTAAAGATTGTTAAGGTTGCATGGACACCTTCAACATGCTCAATGTCCAAGGCTTTGGCAAACGGGAAGAAGCGCCGCAAGACCTTGCCCTGGGGTGAGCTGCAAGGAACTCAAAGCAGTGCGTTCATTTGCGCACAGGCACTTGACTGCTTTTCTCGTGTGCATAACTGGCCAGAGCAGATCAGTAAGGACATGTAGCATAAAAATTGTAGGTAGATACATTATATTTATATGTATATATATATTCATAAGAGCTTGGTGCCAGGACGTAGGGGGCGATCCAACACTCAATACTACTTTTAGTTTTGGCGATTTTCCGATTTCAGGCGGGTAGCAACCACTAGCAGCTTCATCTCTTAAGGTCTGATGCTGTGGCGAGAGAGACGTGGCCACGGCTGCACCTAGTGGATGCTGCACCCATTAGGACCTATCACATCTTATCACATCGAACATGACGTTGCCATGTTGTTGCTGGAACATGATGAAACATACGCAGCTTAGATTTTGGATGTTTAGACATGACTTATCTTCTGGGGATTCAGGAAGCGAACAGAGTTGCATTTGCCAGTTGGCTCGAATTTCTGGTCAACACAATGCATTGGTTCAGCCACTTTGTGCAAACAAATCTCTACGACTCAGGTATTCTGACTTGACTTCACGCGCTTCCGCGGATGGCGTGAGCCCCAGGAATGCGATGGTCTGAATCTACAAGTCCTTTTGGATCTTCTCAAGAAGAATAGAAGAATGCCGGCAAATGAACAGCACGGAGTTTCCAACTGTGCTTTGCCTCAGTTGGTCGATGCTCGTTTCGTACTTGTGCCGCAAGCAGCCAATCAGGTGATTTCAAGAGGGAAGCAAGAGTAATTTAGGGTGATATATCAACACATTGAGAAGAGGAGATCACCCTGCCAAAAACTATCAGAGAAACGGTAGACAAGCCCACACAAGAAACATGTGATGTTGCACACCCTTCTCTGGCCGTCACCGCCCCCCCAGTCCCTCTTGAGGTCAAGTGTTGAGTCCAGAGCAGCTGGTGGCCCGTTGTGGCAAGACACCAAGCTGCGGTTCCATCCAGAGCTTGTGATCCCGAAATACCATGGCCATGAAATTACCCCTGAACAGGGACAGCAGAGATATGCGGTAGACATGGTTCGTTCCTGGCAGCTAGAGACCTGGAGCCCCTGTTGGTGCGAAATGGATCCAAATGCGGCATTTTGCGGCATTGATGTTTGGCAGCCCAATCCTTGTGCACCAAGCTACTACCGAGGCTGTTTGTCCACAATGTGCACTGTTAAACTGTTTCAAGACAGGTGGTGCAAGACTTACTGTAGGATTTGTAGGTAGACTTCCATGTACATCCCCTGCTTTAACTGCTCGAAGTTGAAGAGCCCTTTTCAGCCTGTCATGGCAGACACGGCATGGCGGCATGGCGGTGGCAAAGGACATCATCACCGGCGTGCTTCGAACAAGCTTGCTGAGGTTCATCAAAGATGCCAGCGGAGAACAACTGCACTTGCGACACTTGCTGTCGGGTCACGTTGAAGTGGGCCCGGATGTGGCTCTCGCAGAACCCGCCATCCAGCAGGTTTTACTAGATATAGGCTTTCCAGCCTCCGTTGAAGTCATTAGTGCCCATGCGGACAACATCCGCGTGCACATTCCCTGGGCAAAGCTCCTGGGGCAATCATCCAGACTTGTCATTGGACAGCTCACTGTTCAAGTTCGGATTCACGATGTCGAATCCTTGGCGCAGGTCTTAGAAGGTGTTTCACAGGACCCACCGAAGGTGGAGCATTCCTTTCTGGTCAGACAGCGTGAGCGTCTCGAAGTGATGGTGGATAAGAGGTGCAGCAAACCGCCTGAGGGCCTGGTGAGACGCCTCACATTGTTGGAGACGGTGATTCAAGGGTTAAGAGCCCAATTCAACAATGTCAAGCTTGAGATTTTCAGAGATATCGATGGCTATGAGAATCCGCCAACGGTGGGGCCTTTCCTCACCATGGAACTGCATGGAATCACCATTTCACCTTGCACCAATGCCAAGAGACCCACTTTGGAGCTGGCAGAAGCCCGTGCCGTGATGGACATGGCCGGCTCACTGCCCGAACCCCTCAAACCCTATGCTTTTCGCCGCATGTTCCGCATGGATCGCGCAGATGCTTGGGTGCTGCGCGCAGCTGGAAAGCCATGCAATGCACTACCCTGGCAAAGCCAGAAAGAGTCTTGGAGGAAAATGCCTGAGGTTATGGATTATTTGGTTGGTTCGCCAATTCCTAAGCATGTGTCGACCACCAGGGCTTGCAGAATCCTGCAATCATGTTAAATAGCCTATTGCACAATTGTTGACAACACATCAGCAGTTCTGCTTTTGTCATCTTCGGGTTCATTGCCAGGATACCTGCTTATGACATGTGTTTCTATTGTTGGACAAGATCAAGTTGCAAGTCACTTACTCTTGCTTTCAGAAGCCAAGGAATGGTGCCTGGCTGCCAGATTTGGAACAGGCTGCTTGCGGGCCAGTATATATCAGGCCTGCACTCGGACAGGCCGAGGTGGGGCACTGATGGTGGAGGAATGCGGAGCACTCCTGGGCATTGAGCGGGTCATCGACCTAGAGTCGCCTGAAGGAGCAGAGCAAGCTGCTTTGGATGTCGACTCTTGCAAGGATACCTTGGCAGACCTTTTTCATCCTTTTCATTTAGCGCAAGCATGACAAAGAAGAACCTTTTGGTATTTTTTGGTTAGTTCTTCTTCAGCGGAACTGCAGATCAGGAAGAACAATGCAGGTGGTGAACAGTGATGTTTACGATTCACATCGATTCACTAACTGTTTCGGGCAGATCTGAGGACACATGTACTGCATCCAAAGCCAAACCAAAGATACCCCAATGTTTCACTGAGGCCGTCGCAGGCTGTACGCAATATGCTGTATAGGGTCTATGCTGGAGTGGTTGGTTGGGCTAGTTCGTGGTACTTCTTGGTGCACTAGTTTAGTTTGATGTGTCCTTCAGACATGTAATCATCAGGAACGTGCCAAGATACATGAGATGATACACGTATTTACCGATTGCATGCATTGCATTATTGAGGATATGGAAGGCGCGATGGCTTTGGAGCTTGCCCAGCTCGGAGGGCACTTCTTCTCCGGTTTCCCTATTACAGCGGCATGGAGAAGAATGCAGGTCCAGCGCGGGCTTCCTGCCATCGTTGGTCTCACAGAACCTCATTCCGAGCATTGCCATTCGAGGCGCAGCTCTGTCACCTCTGAGGAGGAAGTGGTTGAGCCGGTGAAAGAAGCCGTGGACAACGTCCTTCGCGAGAGTTTTCTCTCGCAGAGGGGCTCCAGACGGAGCAGCGCGCTGTCGGCCGTTTTGGACAAAGTGAAAAGGGTAGACCCTGGCGAGCGGCTCTTGATCAGCGGCTGGCTGACCAAGCGCGCCAACTTGAGGCCATTCCAAGACTCTTGGCAAGCACGCTGGTGCGAGGTGAGTCAGCTTCCTCAAGGTCATGGCATACTTCGCTATTCTGCCCAGGTTCATGATGCGCCAGGCCAGATGCAGTTAAAGGGAGAGATCGCATTGGTCCAATCCAGTGACGCTTATGTAATGTCGTTTGAGGACGCCAAGGCTGCAAATGCGGGTGGCTCTGCCAAAACCATCTCGGGGTATTTGGAGCACTGCTCCCGGCCCAATGCCGACCGCATTGTTGAGGAGTTTCAGCATGGCTTTCTGCTTCAGACTGCAAAAGAAGGAGCTCAAGCAGGGAGGATGTTCTTCTTCGTCACTGAGAGAGAATCTGAGTCTAGGCGCTGGGTGGCTGCAATACATTCAGTTCTTCAAAAGCCGCAGAGTTTGGAAGATTTTCTTGGAGAGACACTCCCAGAGCTTACTGGAAGTCCAGCAGGGAGTGTGGCACCGTTTTCGGAAGAGAAGGACTGATTTCAGCCACTTCATCAATGGACACTTGACTGGCGCGAGTCATTTGCATCAATGTATGCAGCGATTTACTCGACCAGCATGTAAATTGATGACACCATCGGACACATCCCGACCCATCAAACTCGGCAAGCTAACATCCCAAACCTGACTGACTTAAACGACCAGTTACACCTTTTGTAAACTTGATTAAGCTTGTGTGTTCCCTTCTGTCTTGGTCAATCTGTATTCTGCACTGACTAATCAGCTAGAAAAGGATAACATATAACAAGTACCAAACTTGACAAACACACACACACACACACTGGCCGTCCAGCGATGAACTCATGACCGATATGAATCACAAACATTGCAAACCAGCTAGAGTCTAAATAATTCTAACAGCTCAGGGGGGCCTTGCCTTAGGTATGCAAAACGCGCATTGAGAAATCAAGACAATTGGAACGAACTTGGGGAGGCCCTTTGTTTGGTCTTGCCTGTGAACGGTTTAGTTGTACTCGGAAGGAATTATCAAGATTGCTTGAAAAGACGGAACGGCCAGAAGGTAAGGGAACTTGAGTCATTGTGGTACCGTTTGCTGTTTGCACCGTGGTTGATCATGTAGGTTCTTGGTTAAGGGAATGATTGGTGCTGCTTTTGGGAGCAAGGTTAAAGGTCACAATAGGCCCTCTTGAATGTAAGCAGTTGTGGATGTTGCCCTGAAGTTAACACTGTTTGCGGGTGTGGATGCTTTCACCATCCTCATAGTTTACGTCCCTGGCTGCAGCATCATTGTTGTTCAGGGGATACGTCTAGAGAGAGAGAGAGAGAAAGGGGAGAGATAGAGAGAGAGAGAGGTATAGTGTTTGAGAGACTCAAGCAGGTTGTCATTTGCTCGAGATCGTAGTTCCAACGACAAGGCATGCAGTTGGTCAAAGGTCATAAAAGATGTAACAGGCCCAAGCAGATTCCACAGGACTACTCCGAGGTGGCCACAGAGGATGTCAGTGATGAGGACAGCGCGAACAGTTTTGTCTCCGTGGAAGACGATGAGTTGGTGGTGACGAGACCCAGCTTTCTCTGGCAAGATGAGCCGACCATCGAAGCCACGCTTTCGAAAATGAAGCAGTTCTCCACCATCAAGCTGAACCTGTCGTCCTTGAAGGTGCGCGTTGGACTAGGAGAGATTGCAAATCCCTTGCAAGGACTGCTGGATGAAGCCGTGCCCGAAGCTTCGCCATTCGCTTGGTATTTGTTTAATTTGATAATATATATATATATAATATACTCCGTTTGTGTGTGTGTGATGTGCGTGATATGATATGTATATCATATATCATATATATGTGTAGTTGTTTTGCCGTAATGCGCATGACTGGTTTGCTGGTCACAAACACCCGCTTTGGAGCTCAGTTTAAGTGCATTTCAGGAAACGCAGCAACGCGGGAGAAATTGACGTTGCCAAAGGAGGGTCAAGACCAACCATTTGCTTTCATTTCATTCCTACTTGTACTTTTATTTCACTGCCTTAGCCCTGCAACCCATTGTGCCCGGCCTGCCTCAGCTCAAGCCCAAGAATTTAGGTGTTCTTCGAAAGTGGAAACAGCAGATGAAAACGCCCAGATATGGTACCGGACCGAGGAATGCATCCCTCTACACGCCGAGCTCGGGAATTTGCAGCTGAACCTCATCAGCCAAACCCAGCCCACAGGTGCTGCTGTGGCGCCCGTGGCTAAGCTCATGGCTTTACCTCCTCCAGTGGTAGATGGCTTCCTGCAGAAAAAGGCCACTTGGTCGACGTCACGTGCCTTCGAAGCACTTCCAAACATGAGACGGAAGTCTGGATGGGGGGCGGTGTCCTTGATTTTACGCTTCAACATGTTTGGAGCAATATGCAGGCAATGCCTCTGTCCTCGATCTTGACCACATTAAACTCATCTTACATTCTTGTGGAGTTCGAGCCACTGAAAGGCCCAACAAGACCAGCTTTGCTCTCTTTGGAAAGACTCTGACAGCACAGTATTGTTGATTTTCAAAAGTCCATAAGAATAAGAAGGCCTGCTTGTGACAGTTTAACAGTTGGGCTCATGTGATCTACGCTGGTGATGCTCCATTGCTGTTTCAACAATCCAACATGCAGACTTCAATAGGCTGTTTTGCTGCTCAGGGCTGAGGTTGACTGAAAGCATAACTGGTCAAGTCGAAAAGGGACAACAGGCCGACAACAGGTTTAGCCTTGCTTCAAGCGCTTCATTGTTTGCAGTTTAAGTTCTTTTTGTATCTTTTTGTGACTCTTGTGATAGGAGACGGTTCAGAGTTCAGAGATGTTCAGAGGATTCTGCAGTGTCAACTGTTCCTTGCAAATTGCTCCCACAGGTACCATTGAGCTTACAGTGGGGGATGTGAACATCAAACGCACTGACATTCCTCGAAACATTGCCAGTGGGAAGGGGCCTGCGCCGATAATCCGGATGATGTTTGAGCAGCAGCTGGAGCTAGTGGCAGCCTGGAAGCCCGAGGAGCAATTAAAAGCTGCCCATATCTCAGGCATTGTGCGATTGATTTGGTTGACTCAGTCGAACAAGCAAATGATTTGATTGGAACCTTGAATTTATAAAATGATGTAAAGAATAGAGCGTCAGATTCGCACCACTTTTGGACGAAATGGGCCTCGTTTATTTCAAGGAAACTTATGAAGATGCGTGGTTGACATAGTGACATAGTGTATTTTCGTCAGCATGTGGGCCATCATCAATATCAGCACAAGCCCCAACCAGCCTGTCAACCGACCGACTGACCGACCCACCAACACCGCTGAGTACAGTACAGCTGCCACCGCTACCACCACTATCCATACTACTGCTGCAACAACAACTGCTACCACCACCTTTGTGTATAAGTCTTTGTGATCGCTTCGCCTGCGCAGGAGGGTCAACTAAACTCAAGAAACCTGTGAGAAATAGATAACAATAAAGCCAATTGATACCTAGGTGTTGCCGCTTTGGATCAGATACAAAAGAACAAAAGCACAATCGAAACCTTGCCTCAGGCGCTCTCACGCACCTTTTTGCCACCTTGGATGTCCCGGCCTTGATGACCATCCAAATCTTTCTATTGAAGCTGGGGAAGGCCTTCTCACCAGACGTTCCGACCCTGATGCCGCAAAGCCGAAGTGAAAACAGTTTTACTTTGCATATGTTTGTGTTGTGATTTTGGAGCTATCAAACACAACTATATACATATATAAATATACATGCGAATGTACATGTAGTTCGTCTAATCTCTCCCGCCTCCATCCCTTTCCAGAGCAAAGAACCTGGTAGGACAGCAATCAACATGACCTTCAAAGTCGGAGTCGCCTGTGAGAATGATTTTTGGGATCATGAAGTCATCACTCATACCTGAATAAATTCCTTCCACACTGTTGGTTTCTTGGCTTTGATCCGCACATTCCCGCAGGGTGGCACACACATGAGGCGTTTGTATGTGTTTGCCACAAGTCTCAGGGGACTCGTTGATCTGAGGCCACCCCAGCAGATTGAAGCCTTGGAGGCCCTGAAGTCCATGGAGCCCCATAGCTTACAGATGCGCTTGGAGGATTTGGAGGTGGGGCAACAAACAAATCGGGCCCCACAAAATGCAATCCCTTGAGTCAGTTCAGATTGTTCTGCTTGCCGCGGTTGAGCGGTGAATCAGTTTTGCTGCTTCTATATTCAAGTGAAGGTGCTGCTTGTGCTGGTCACAACAGGTTCCAGGTATTTTTGCATCATGGTGGTGAGTGGTGGTGACTGCTTCACCAGTGTCAAGAACAATCAAGAACACACCCTCTCACCAGCAGTGACAAAGCACCACAACCACAAAAACACAAGTCAAAAACACCACCTGGTGAGTGGTAGGAACTTGCCACTTGCCACTGATGAGCACTTGCTGCCTCAACTTCTCAACATCAGTGGCACTTCACCAGCTGTAGGACACTTGTCACTGCGCCTGCGGAAATCCTTGCATTTTGTCACTGACAGTCACTGATCCAACACTTGACCAGCAGGTTCTACCCTGATTTCGGCATGACAAGGTCATAATGCATAGACTTCTTTCGTTAAGCCGCCTCCTTTATATCTGTCGTGCAGTCCACTTCCCAAATCTATAGGCATTGTGCAGTCCAACTGCTGTCACATCAGGTCTGGCGTAGTGCTGCTGGTACCATCATCTTCCATGCATACGCGTGCTGTAAGGCTAGCGGCCCAACGGTAGGACATCTGAACGTCGTCGACGGTCTGTTTGAGTCAAATCAGTTGAGCTAGAAACAAGTGCCACGCTAGTAGTAACAGGTGCCTTACTAGTAGTAACAAGTAGTTTTCTATTAAGTTCAATTTAGTTTAGCTTTAATTCTAGTAGCGAACATTGTTACTACTAGTGTGGCACTTGTTACTAGTAGCTTTGAGTCAATATGCTATTTCTATATACTATTCTGATGTTGACCATTTCTCATATGTCTCCCTTAACAACTTCTCAACTTCTCAGTCTCGCGGCAGCTTTCAGGTTGAAGTGCCATTGCCTGGCTTGCCGGTTTCAGGCCACGGCCTTCGAATCACCATCGCTGCGATGCAGCTGGCGAGCATGGATGCACTTCAGCACCATGACTGCACTGGGCTCACAATCCATCACATGACATAGAAGCACTTCTTTTCCGACATTCACGGAGAGACCGCCCCTCAGAACAAGAATCTTCACATTTGGGGGGTTGTTTTTTATATACCAGCATGTGCAACCAAGGATGGGGACACCGGGAATCGCAATGATGACATGTTTAACTAAATGTGGAACTGGTGCGTTGATCACTCAATTCAGCTATATATATATATACGTCAATTGAAATTAGGTAGGGTCAGTTATACAATTTATGCCTTCTCTAGCACACCATACAGAAAATTGCAGGTCTGCGGTCTGCGTGAGGCAATTTCAACAGATAATGCTTTGTTAGATGCTTCGGCTGGGCAGCTTGCGAACGCAAGGTCGTTTGCCGCATCTATGCGGCGAATGGCCTCCGGGCGTTCTGAGAGCAGTGGCCAATGAGTTTTAGTCAATGTATGTCAATGTGTATTCTGGCAATTGTCGCATGCATTCCGAAAACAAGGATCGACAGCAGCCTGTGTGGGCACAGTGTCCCTATAGCAAGTATAGAGTAAACAATTTGGGCACTGCCACCTACAGCGGCGGTTCGAAGAACCTAAACAGGATACTACATGGTAGAGCGAGCCAAGGCAGAAGTCATACATGTTCCATGTGCGGGCAGTTGTGAATTCCAAGGACTAGGTTCTTTTCCTGCCTTTTGTTGGAGCGTGGTTTTTGTCAGTTGGCAGATGGTAGGACAACAGTGAGTTAGTCCTGGCGGCACTAAGGTGACAACATTACAGTGACTCAGGCCATTGAATTGACCTGCCCTCAGAAACCAGTCCCATTCAAGTGTTTGCTTCCCTGGAGCCAAAGCACACGGACAATGAGATCAGAATTAGAATGCGTTGATTCCTCTTAGACATGTAGCAGTGTGATTTTGTTTGCCTTGTCTACCCTCAAAACAGTGTGAAGATAAGATCCGTGTTTAACCTTGCCTAGCTTTGGCAGCAAGTCTTTGGCCGCCTTCGCGCATATATTGAGGGACCGTGCTGAGGCTGCGCATCATGCACGCGCATGCACCCAGTTGGGATCCTGAGAACGCGGAGCCTTTCAGAAACTCCACCCGATTTGGCAGAGGAGTTGCCAGAAGAATTGAGTGTTCAAAACAACAACATTCATCAAGATTCCGCTTCTTGATGGAGGCCATCGCTAATCCCTTCCACCTATAAAGAAACACAGCCCCCCTTATTTAAAAACTCGGGTGCATTTTTTAGAATAAGGGGTCCCTGAAATCCGGAAGGTCCAGAATAGGGTCAGTGGCAAGATCCTTGAATGATTTTTGTAGGATTGGGGCAAGAGGATATCTACCTGCCCAGTGCCAGACAGCCAGACAGTCTGCCAGACATCAGAAACAAGAGGCGGACAGGCAGCGGAGGGACAGCCAGACTACCCCAAAAATCGACCATGTTGGTAGTTCAGTAGCAGTTTGAGAGGGCGACAATTGAAAACAAATATAAATCGCATTTCGGACAAGAGTTTGTTTAATTGGGGGTGTTTTTCATAGGTACTCGGAAATATTAGGTTGGAGGCCATGGCAACTAGGTTGAAGGCCATCGCAACTAGGTTGGAGGCCATTGCTACTAGGTTGGCGGCCATCGGAGGCCTCTGCTATTAGGTTGGAGGCCAGCTAGTAATGTCAAGACCTGATTAATAAACCGCCTCCCACACATGGTAGGTCAACAAGGTCGAGGTCCACCTCCCTTGAATAATGCGTTATGAAACCATAGGACAATGAAGGATGAAACCAGGCTTTGAGGGGATGAGCTGATGAGCATGAGGCCAAAGTCCATTTAGGAAGCAATGAGTTCATAGGAACCAAGATATGAGAGGAATTGGCTGGTAACATTTGGGCTCATAATAGGTATGAGCTGGTGAGCAGGTGAGGTAGGGGGACACAGGATCAAATTAATAGGGGGCAGTAGTGCAGATTATTGATGGGGGACCGGCCCTTGTGAGGGGTACCCTTTGTGAACTTGTCAAATTATTGCATGTTTTATAAGGCAACTTATAGGCCCTGAGCCCTAGACAGCTTTTGGGATTTCATCAACATGTAGTAGGTGGTAGTTGGTGGTGGTGGTGGTCGTTGTAGTAGTTGTTGTAGCAGCAGCAGCAGTATCTAGCAGTTGCAGCAGTAGGAGTAGTAGGTACCCAACCAGGCCATTAGCGTGATGAATAATCCACCAATACGACTTTTAATTTTGGCAATTTCCGGTCGCTTTGTGGGCCCGCATAAACTAAGGGAGGTTTATTGATCGTGACCCTACATTAGGTTGGAAATTCTTCAATCCAGATGCTGCTTGCTCCCAAGAACCGGCCATTCTTCAGGCCTAAATCTGGAGACAAGCAACTGGGTGTCATCCAAGCTGGACCGGAAATTGAGGCATCCGAGATGCTGTGATTTCATCAGTTTTCACGACTGCTGTATGCAACGTTCTTCATTTTTGATGATAATTACTGTTGTGGCATTCAACCAACTGCATCAGAGTGGCCTGCGCTGAAAGAAACGCTGTTGGCTCCATTTCGGAAACAAACTCATGACAAGAATTGTGTGGCATATACCAGGTTTTTACGAGAATGCAGTGGACATTTTGATCCGCATGCTTGCGTGAATATGCGTGAATTGCCTTGGCAATTCTCTGCACAGGTATCAGCTTGAGGACCCGCCAATCAGCTCAGAAGATCCATCGATCTCGGTGAAAACCCCCGTGTTGTCGGTCCAAAAAAGGGGGTTTCTATGGGTAGCGATGCATCGTGAGTTCAACTTTGGTTTTGCTGTCACGGAGCCTGTGCAAAAACACAGGATACTGTTTGTCGCACAATGTTCCATTTGGCAACAGGGCACCTTCTGGAATGCGCTCAGCCATGGCTGATTCAAAGTATTGCAATAAGAGCCTCAACAGTGCAATGCCATACAATATGCTACTATCATGTTTGCATGTTCAGGCCGTACCACACCCATCCACACCCACTCTTCCAAGGCTAAGCGTGATCAGCGGCACTTTGCCCATGTGGGCAGTAACGCTTCCCAAAGCTTGTCCGTTCTTATTCAGCCTTGGTCTTGGAGACTTTGAGCATTGAAAAGGCATCACTGACAGAAAATTGACTCTAGAATCATAGAACACGCTGAGGCCAAGTCACAGGGCACGGTAAAAGTTCAGATGCGTGGAAATCCATTGTGAGTGAATGTTCTAGTTTTCTACCTTGAGTTGATTGCAAGCATAGTTGGACGGGTATAGGTTTGATTCGGTGAGTGAGAGATGCCTATATAGGTGACACAACTGGAATCGGCACCAGGAATTGGTCTCAGCAAAGCACCCAGGCTTGAAGACACGCAAGATGTTGATGAAGTACACTGCATTTGGGCCATCTTTTGCGGTTCATTGGACACAGGACTGTCGAATTCGGCGGTTCATCGCCCTCCCGATGTTTCGCTTCTCGAGTGTTTTTTTTGTGTGTGTGTTTGGCGTATTTGGCGCATCCATTTGTTTCTTCTCGCGACATCTGGAAAATGGTGGGAAATTGAAGTGTCCACTAATTAATCTACTCACATCATCTCACATCTATATATACTCATATTGCATTTGGAAGAGCCATGACTTTGGGGAAGCACACGGCTTTGGTGTATTTGCTTGCCTCCTCGCATGCAGGAACACAAAGTCGGCTCCTTCTTGAAGCGCCGGGCAACAGTGCAGACGGAATTAAATGTGGCTGGTCCCAAATCTGTGGAACTGTCAGACCTTTTCACATCCCAAGGCGTGTCCAGAAACACCGACGGCCACCAAGGCTCAAACAGATCCACGGAAAATGCAGGAGCTCTCGCAGGAGCTGCCGGGAGCACAGCCAGATTCAGATAGATCCATCATGATCCATCCGATACAGGTTTGTGGGTCAATCAGTTCATCTAATTGTGAATCACCAGTGAATAATACTATTTATGGGAATCTTGGGCCAACCATGTGGGATGATTGAATCATGAGATCTGGGCATGCAATTCATTTGTCAAGCAGCTCACTTATTGGCTTCGAACGTCAGAAGTCTTGCCAAAGTTGGGGACATCATGTCAGCTTTAGTTTCCATGACTTTTTGCGTCCGTTCGGGCCGTTGGGGTGCAGAATTTGCGCGTAGAATTTGGAATTTAGCTCGAGCACTCACGTGTCTCAGAGACTGGGTATGCACATTCACATGCCCTTTACTGGTACTCATTGTTAGTTTTATGTTGTTTCACTGTTGCTCACAGGGCCGAACAATGAGATGAACAAGCACAATTGATCTAGCACATGCGAGGGAGCAAGAACAAGCCATGCTAAGCCGTGCTAAGCCAATAAAAGGAGAGAGAGAGAGAGAGAGAACGAAGACTATCTTCCACTGAGGTCCAACATCGAGGAGCATGTGGTCCGGTTTGATGCCTAGACTAGACGAGTCGGCGGACCGCACCGCTGCGGTGTTCGATTCGGCGGACCGCACTCTCCAGAGGTCTAACTTTTGGCTCGGCACTCTCCAGAGCACTTTGGCCGGGAGGCTCCAGTGGATTGAGGTCCACCAAAGGTGGGAGGACCTGACAAATGTTTACTGGATCGTCGACATGTCAGGGACACTGTGGATTTGGCCTTGAAAAAACTGTGCATGTTTGTTTTCTCCATTCTTGGCTCCTACTTTCACCATTTTTCATCCCATTGTTCGGCATACATCGGTGATGGCGCCTGAGTCTCCAAGTTGGTAGGAACTCAAGACACCAGTACCTGGTTGCAAACATGCCGAAGAGGCACTTACTTGCCCTTAGGTGCGTTTGCAAAAGGGCGAGGAGTTCCTCCGACAAGCAGATGTGGCCATGGGCTTTTTGGCTAACGTGTGAGGCCTCAGAAATTGGTGTTTATGTTAGTTGCTAGAAAGCCAGCACACACAAGCATTGGCAGGATTCTCCGAAACACATCCAAGATCACCCAAGACCTGACGAAGAATAAGACGGTTGTGCTATTCACATTTGCGTGCTGCAGCACAATTTGGGGAAGACCCTTTAAAATTTTGGAAGCAAGTGCGTTATATGTGCGTAATATAGATATGATATGTTATCAATCTTCCTTGACATCAAAAGGTGCAGTGATTGATCCAGTACCAGATAAGGCCAGTAAGTTGATGGAGGTCCAGTTTGAGGGCGAAACAGGCTTTGGCATTGCTGTGACTCAGTCCTTCTATGCAACTCGGTTGCACGACAGGTGGCAGCAGAAAATCTTGGCAATGCTCGGGCTTTTGTTAGATTGCTTTAGTATGCTTTAGTTGTATCATTGAGATTCATTTGGTTACGCAAGATTTCATGCTGCTTCCAGATGACTCTGCGTATGCTGCATACGGTGTCACATTTCACTTTCATGGACCCGTTCGCACCTCACTCAAGCGTCCGTGAGCCTCCCTGAAAGCAATGACATGAGGTCGAAGTGGCACAAGCCTTGCAGGAGCGTAGC